AACATACTCACTTTGTCGTTGTTCCTCAAAACCAGTGGAACTTCATAGACTTCACAGGGAGTGTAGTTCTGAAATACGATTTCTGATGGAAAGGGCTGGAATAATGCCTGATCCAGGTCAATTCCAGAAAACTGCAGTTGAAGAGTAAATTAATCATATAGTCACACAGTGTCAGGAATGACTGGGGAAGGTAAGAAAATACTACACAGACCTATGAATATTAATACTAAGAATACAGGAAACACTCAAAAACAAGTAACTACTATAAACAATAATTGTTATAATTAGCAAGATGATTGTCATCAACTTCTTTAGTACAAAAGAACTTAAAAGGTGTGGTCCTCAGTTAAAAAAAAAACACAGGCTAATTAAGAACACCAATTCAAAACTTCCATTTCTAGTAATGGCAAATAAGGTAATTTGAATCAATTCCCTATAATAACAAGAAAAACTGTATCAACAAATACCTGCTTGAAGGCACTAAAGAGCTAACGAGATAGTATGACTAATGTTGAAACTATGAATTACCTCAAGCTAATAGCTTGTATACTATCCAACAGGTTTTGAGTATTGCCGTGTTTCCTTGAAATTTTAGAACATCCCATGATGCCCTATGAGTTCATGGTTGCATCCTGGGACACCTTGAAAAACTGATGATATAAATATCCATCTCGATAATTGAGAAAAACAATAGCAAACATAAAACACAAATGAAAACCCAAACAAATGAAAAAAATGACATAACAAAAACAATAACAGGAATTAATGGAATAGAAAGTAAGTACACTAGAGAAACAATAAATCCAAAAGTTTAGTCTTTAAAAAGAGCAATAAAATTGATAAAATACCTAGTGAATCTGATCAAGAAAATAAGACAGAAGGTACAAAGAACCAATAAAAGTGAAATTAAGGACATTACTACAGAATATGAACTCACTAAAAAGTTAATAAATGCATATTATGTCAATATATGAAAATTCAAATAAAAAGTACAAATTCCTAGAAAAATACAATTTATCAAAACTAGTACAAGAAGAATAGTAAATATAAACAGTTCTGTAATTAGAAAAATTGAATTTGTAAATAAAAACTTTTCATAGAGAAAACTCTAGCCCAAATAGCTTTACAAGTAAATTCTAGCAAACATTTAAAGAAGATACAATTCAAATATTATTTAAAAACTCTATCAAAGGAAAGAAAAATAAAAAAATTAAATCTCCCAATTCAATTGATAATATACCTAAGAAAGACAGTAGGAGAAAAAAATTATAGGCCAATCTTACTCTTGAACCATAGATTCAAAAACACGAAAAGGAACAAAACATTAGCAAATTTTAAAAACCCATAATATTTAAGAAGGGTAATACATCATGACCAAGTTGGTTTTATCTCATAAATTCAAGGTTGTTTTCACATATGAAATTGATCAAGAACAAAACTGTCTTTCCTCTAGAAGAAAAGACCGTTTATTCAGAAAATTCAAAATAACCCACCAGATAAACTATTAGAATTAATAAGTGATCTGTCATGGTCACTGAGTACAAGATCAACATACAAAAATCAATTATATTTCTATGTACTAGCTATGAACATTTAGGAAATAAAATTTATAAACAATGGCATTCAAAATAGCATCCCAAAACATAAAATACATAGGAATAAGTCCAATGAAAGATGAGCAAGACTTTTATCCAGAAAAACTACAAAATATTACTGAACGTACAATGCAATATATAGATGACGTATTATAGAACTGTACACTTGAAACTTATATAATTTTATTAACCAATGTCACTCCAATAAATTTAATAAAACTTAAAAATATATATTACTAAGAAGAATTAAAGAAAACCTACATAAATATAGGAATATACCATGTTTATGAATTAAAAGACTCAATATTTTAAAGATGTCGAATACTCCCCAAATTGATACAAAAATTCATGAAATTCAATTTAAAAATCTTAGAATTTTTTCTGGAAATTTAAAAGCTGATTATAAAATTTATATTGAAAAGCAAAGGATCAAGAATAGACAAGATCCACTTGAAGAACAAGATAGGAAGACTTGCTCTATCAGGTAGCAGGACTTACATAATTATATATATATTTTTTATTTTATAAGAGTTTATTTGAGCCAACTGATGACATATGCCAGGGAGCAAGATCTCAAATGCCCCCATATTATTACATATTGCATACTGTCACTTATCATAATAATTAAAATAGTGAGATATTAGCACAAGATTTATCATAAATACAAATGTAACAGATTAGAAAGCTCTAGAAACAAATCCTTTAATATATGGATGCTTGATTTATGACAAAGGTAACACTAAAAACACTGGGGAAGGGATATGTTCCCTTCAATAAATGGTGTTGGGTCAACTGGATATTCCATATAAAAAAATATTAATTTAACTCCTATCATGCACCATTCTTAGTGTATCAAAGCTCTCATTATGAAAAGTAAACAACGTTTTCAGAAGAAAACTAAAAGGAAAATCTTCATGACATTAAAAAAGGCAAAATTTTCTTTAATGGGACACAGAAAATACAAAACAAATGAAAATACTGGTAAATTAAGTAATATTGAAATTTAAAACTTATGTTCATCAAAAGATACCCAATAGGGAATAAAAAAAGAAAGCTAAAGAATGGGAGAAGATTATTTGCAATGCATTTAATTGATAATGGACTAGTCTCCAGAATATATGAAGAACTTTTTATGAAATCAATAAAAGATGGACAAAAACCATAAACATGTAATTTATAAGCGATGATATCCAAAACGCTAATAAAATATGAAAAGGTGCTCAAATCTAGAAATTGTAAATTAAACCACAGTGCAATAGTACTATATACCCATTAAAACGATTTAAAGAAACTGACAATATTAAGTATTAGCATGGATGTAGTGCAACTGGAATTCTCACACACAGCTAGTGGGAGTGTAAACTGGTATAATCATTTTAGAAAAGTGGTAATTATCTACAAAGCAAAACACATGCATAGCCTATAATCTAAATATTTTACTCTTAGGTATATGCCCAATAGAAATGTGTACATGTTCACTAAAAGATCTGTACAAGAGTGCTTATAACAGCATCATTAATAATATCAAAATGTGGAAAAAACAGTGCTTATAACAGTAAAATAGAAAAATAAATGTGGTATAGTCATATAATGGAATACTATACAGCAATAAAAATGAATAAACTACTGCTAAACACAACATAAATAAATCTCGAAAACATAATATTGAGTGAAATTAACTAAATATATGAGTTGAATGTACGATCCATAGTTTAGGTTACAGGCTGCAGCTAGAAAAGCTTAATTAAGCTTAATTAATGTTCCCTGCCCTTAGAGTTAGAGAGTGGTTATGGGGAAGAGAATAAACAATAACCAAAGCTAGCAATGCTCAGAGGAAGAGCAAATTTTTATGCAGATCCTAGACAGGGGAGGCCATGGTGCTGCAATGAGAACAAAAGAGCCTCAGGGACTCGTTCGTCATATGGGAAATAACTCTGAAAAACTCTGGGAATAGTTGAGGAATGCTTTGAGAGGAGGCTAATCTCTATCGGTCAACTGATATAGGTTCATACCATAATTTCTACATAAAAAGTAAAACATATAATTCAAAAAGTTAATTAAAAAGTAGGAAATAACTTATTTTATAATCATATTTTCCTAAAGCCTAGAACATATGTTTACATTAGAATATAGAAACTAAAAGGATACATTTGTTATTGGAAAGGAGCCAGAATACAAAACAAATGCCTACTTTACTAAACAATTCCACCTTCTTCCTATCTAGTGATGACAGCTCAGGTAAGGAAGGATATCTTATGCTAAGAAGATAACTTAATGAGGTTTGGCTAATATAATTCTTGGAATCACCCCTAATCTGTAAACAATAGTGTCTAGAAATAGCTAAGAAAGAAATATGACTCATCAAAAGTTATATATCCTTATTAATTGTAATTCTCTCTATATCAAACCACAGATCAACAGAAGTAAAAAAAAAGAATGTATAATACAAAATAAGGGATTAGTTAGCCAAGAAGTAATGACCACTAGTGTTGCTCTAGAATATTCACATTATTGCAGGGCCTACTTTACATGTGAGTATGACAGAAAGCAGCTACCTTTTGATGTGTCGTTTCCCCCATATCTAGAAGTTCAACGATCTGTGGTCGGCACATCAAGCGTGTATTAGCCAGTCTCTGCTCTGTGGTGAGGGACATTTCCTTCAGAAACTCTGAGGGTGTTAGCTACGATTTAAAACAGAAGCCAAACATTCATAAATAGTTATACTGAAAAAGTGTTTTCATAAGTGCCCAAAAGCTTTGCTTGCATGTTGTAACTTCAGTTGAAAAACAGAAGTATTTCAAACTCCAGAAATTAATAATTTGTGTTTGTAGCTTTCAGGATAATTCTGGAATGCCACTAAGTTCCCTTATAAAATATTCAAAATAACTAAATAATACAAGAGAAGTACTCATGCACTTTTGAGCTCTTTGCACAGTAATTCGAAATGACATGTCGTTGCTATTTCTTTATGATTTTGAAAGAATCACACAAAGGAACCTGGCGGCAGGGGCAGTCAAGAAATTGCACAGGAACATGGCCAAAAGAGCTTAACATCTATGCTTAGAACAAGCACCTGAGCATAAAACTCTGTTTCTAAAATCACTTTCAGGCTTCAGAGCTAAGGAGTTTGAAATACTTTTGTTTCTCAACTGAAAGTTATAAAATGCAAGCAAAGCTTTTGGGTGTTTATTTTATCAAGTTGAAGAGCAATTTTATAAAATGTAAAGGATCTGGGAAGTGTGATTACGTTGCCTAGAAATGAGTCTGAACTTTTTAGAAACCACGGGAGCTCTTGTTTTAAAAGAGCTCTAAGCCAATCATCAGATAGTCAGCTATTCATTCATATTCACATACCCAAAAAAGAACATAAAATGCTTTAACATTTTCTAAAGTTATGAGAAAAAAATGTAATCTATCATTTATCATTTAAATAACACAACAGGGGCTTAGTTACCCAGACCAGTCACTATTATTTAGTTATTATTATTCTGAAATATTCACTTTATTCCAGGGTGTACTTTATCTATCTATCTATCTATCTATCTATCTATCTATCTATCTATCTATCTGATTATTTACTAAGAGGAAAGGGTTTGTTAAATTAAACTTGTAATGTTGAGATAATCGTAGGTTTACATAATACTGTTTCCCCAAAAACAGTGTCTTGCAAAACTACAGTATCAAAACCAGGATACTGACATTGATATAGTCAAGATGCAGAACATTTCCATCATCCCGGGCCTACTTTAGATGCAATGAAATTATGATTATTGGCAGCAACATAACTCTTCAGGGTGTGCCAAAGCTTTTAAAAGCAATCAGAGGTATATAATTTAGCTGATTTGCTTTGTCTTGGGTTAAAATCAATGCTTTTCAAATTCCCTACAAAATTATTTTCTGTGATTGAATCCATTAAAATGGATTCTAACTTGTTTTTTTAGGTTTTCTTTTTTTAATTGAGACCCAGATTAGAATGCTAAAATGTTAAGAGGTCATCAGCTGTGTTATGATTTAAATAAAAATAAAGTGTTAAAAGCAACAAGAGTTACCTTAAATATGAAACAAGAACCACCACGAAAGAGAATCGATTTTTATTTTCCTAATTGGATTGTAACTTGAGACTGCAACGAATACTATATCTATGATAAATTTTCATTGATATTTTCTATAGCATGCAGTTTATAATTCAATTCTCACCAAATCATTATAATTCATTAAAATATAAGTATTTTTAAAGGAAAGAAAAAATTATGTATTTTTCCTATATACAATATAGTCATTATTTCATATTCTATATTCTATAATTATACAAACAAAAATAACTCTTGCCAATCAAGTAAGAGATTATTTAGGTTAAAGCCTACAAAATTCTGATATTTGAACTTATTTAAACTACACAAATGACAGTCTCACAGAATTCAAACAAATATTTCAAAAACCTTAATAATTTGCTTCCATAGCTGATTAACTTAAGCAATTCAAGCCTCTACTTCGATGTATGTAATTTCGAAATTTTCTCAGGCTTTGAAAGGTGCCTATGGCTCTGCAACAAGCTACAATGTTAACTAAATTTATATTATCAGTCAGTAATTCTGTTTGGTATTCTGAGACTACCAAGTAACAGCTGTCATTCTCTTGAGAAGACTGCATTAAATATTTTACACTGAAATTCTCTGATACATTACCATTCGGTTTACTTCTTCTTCTGTAACCACCTTTGGACTCAGTGGTGGCAAAACCTTGCTTTGGAATCCTTTAAGCATTCTGACTAACCCCATCTGAACAGCCCCCATGGACTCCTCAAGTCTCCTACTTGTCATTTTCAGTTATATCTGTTGTTCACCTAAGAGTGAAAAAAAGTTTTAGAACAAATACATTTAACCCCTAAACACAGGTCACAATTATTTCAAGCTTTTCAAATACAGGAAGGTTTACTGATCTTCAAAAATATATCAAATGCTTAGAACAAATGCCTTAACCAAAGGCATCTGTTCTATGTAACTAGTCTAGATTTAGCCTCATCCCAAAGTTTAAGATCCCTTTTAGACAAACCAAGTGATTGGGGACAAAGCTCAGGGATGATATGGACATACGAGCAGTTCTTACATTTTGGTACTTTTATCTTCCCCAAATAAACAAATAAAAACTGCTCAATAAATATACTTCATAATTTGCCATTTTATCTGTTTGTTTGACAATTGTCTCTTGTGACATCCTTCAAACAGAGAAAAACTGTAAGGCTTTAGGCCTTCACAGCTGGGCAGAGACTCAAAAAAGGCAGCATGAGATTACATGAGGAACAGGAAAATTGATCAACTCTGAGTCATATCTTAGCAAAAATGTTAGACTTCAAAGAATTTTTAAAACTCCTCATAGCCTCCAGGCAAAAAAGTAAAATAACTTACAAGGGCAAGAGAAAGAGATGTCACTGGACTTTGAAAAAACCACCTATGAAATGGGAAAGCTGAGGAGCAACATTTTCCAATAACTTTAAAAAGTATGAGCCAAAGATTTTATATACAGCAAAGCTCTCCTTCAATTATCAAGGCTACAGAAAAGAAGTTTTGAATATGCAAAAACTCAAGGAATATCATAAAGATGTTCCTTTCCTGCAGAATGCACTAGAGGATGGGCTTCATCCAACCAAAAGGTGACTGGAGAACTTCAGGAAAAGGACTGACAATGAACATTTCATGTATTTAATTATAGAGCTAAGATTAAAAGGACATGATGAGAAGAATAGACTTTAACATGTTTTCTGACAAAATAGAATGCAATTTTAAAATAAAAAGAAAAAAGAGAAAAAGATCCAAAAGTAGAATAAGCTCATTAACAGTTGTCTAAGAAATAGGTAGGAGTCAAACCATTTAACCAAATACTGATATTTGAATAAAAGAGGATTTAGGGAACTATGTTAGAAAGCCCCTATGACAGCAGTCAACGAACTTGTTTCCAAGCATTCATATATTTATGTAATCCCCTCCCCTTTAGTGTGGGCTGTACTTAAGTATTCTAACAAATATAATACAGCCCAAGTGATGGATGTCTCTTCTGAGATGAGTTACAACGAAACTTGGTTCCATCTTGGGCACTATCTGGCTCTCTCAGATCATCGGCTGCCATGTCGTGAAGACACTCAGGAAGCCTACAGGGAGGCCATGTGGTGAAGAACCAAGTCCTGCCAGCAACGACATGAGTGAGCTTGGAAGTGGATCTTCTGAGGCTTGCCAACAACTATGTGAATGAACTTAAAGGCAGATTTGCCAGCCCCAGTTGAGCCTTGAAATGACTTGTGTCCTGGCCAACAGCTTGAAAAGAAATGTATGAGAGACACTGAGTAGGATACACCCAGCTAAGCCACACCTAGATTCCTGACCCATAGAAACTGTGAGAATACAAATATTCATTGTTTCAAGCTAATATTTGGGCAATTTGTTACACAGCAGTAGATAACTATTGTAGGCCCTATAAAAGGTTGTATACAAAGAAAACTACTGAACATAAAGATAAGCCTTCCTAAATGCCAAAAGAAATTTTAGAAAAAGTGAAGAAGACATACTAAACAAAGACAAAAAAGAAATCAAATGTAATACACAAAATTATTACAATATAAAATAATATGGGAAGTGATAGTACCAACATGGTGGAATAGGTGGTAGACAACTTCAGTGTCCCTCAGAAAAAGACTAACTAGAAACTATCCATAGAAAGGACACCCTTGTGAAAATACCAGAACATAGGGATGAGGCTGAAGCGTCCCCTTGGGTCACAGAGACATGGAAAAACCTCAAAAGTATGCTAAGTAAAGTAAGTCAGTCACGAAGACCACAAATGCATGAGTCCATTCACCTGAAGTGTTCAGAACAGGGAAGTCTCTAGAGAAAGGAAATTAATGGTTGCCTAGGACTGAGAGGGATGAAGGGCGTAGGAGGTGGGGGTAGTGATACTAAAAGGTATGAGATTTCTTTCTTGAGGTGAGGAAAATATTCTAAAATTGACTGTGGTGTTGATTGTATATAATTGTGAATATACTAAAAACTGTTGAATTGTAGGTACATTTTAAATGGGTAAATTGTATGGTATGTGAATTATATCTCAATAAAGTTGTTAAAATAAATTTTAAAACATTTAAATAATCAATTCTTAAAAATTCAAACAAACTGAAACAAACGAACTTAGCTATTTATCAAGCTGGACTCATAATCATGAAGAGAAAACAATTATTCCAACTGACCTTAAAATATATTGACTGTTTATTGTCAATAGATAATAGCCTTATTACTAGTCATAACATTAGTAATATTTTTTAAATAAGTCATTATATCAGTATTGTTAGGAACTAAGTATTTCAGCATTTACAAAAGTATAAAACTAAATAAGTTCTTAAATTAAGAAACCCTATAATCTTAAATTTAAATTGAAAATATGTGTGAGCTAATAATTATTTTCTCCTTTTAATAACCTGTCTAATGAAAGAGCCCAGAAACAATAAAATCACAATAAACAATGACAGTCCAGGGACATGTTGTGGTCTCAAAATACCATGTGCCACTGAAAAGAACCACAGTTCCTTGGAGAAATGGGCAGTTTGAGATCTGGGACACAAAATATATAAGATGAACTTGGAACACTGTATTACACTATAAAACAAGGATGCTATCAAAGGCTACTGAGGTTGTGTCTAAAGGACCCAGAGTAACTTGAAGGAATTCTCACTCACCGAAGATTAAACAATTTGAACATTAAAAAATAAAAAAGTCTGTAATAGATTATTCTCAAAAAATCTGGGTTCAAATGATACTATGAAAATCATTAATCATCTTTGGAAATTGCTTGGATACCAAACTAATTATTCTTGAATAAAAGGGAATAATCGACCATTAATCTTGCACTTTTTTTGTACAAATTACATTGCAAGTTAACCAAATTGTTGATGGGAGAAAATTATCCTTCATAGAATTCCAGGTAATAAATACAGAAGATGACAGAAAAATAATCACCATTTTATAGCCCCTAATGAAACGAAGGATCATAAATGCTAAAACCATTAGAAAAGACGTTGCTGAAGAACTTTAGAATGGCTCAGTCAGGCTAAGGACACCTGAACCCTCTAAATCAAACTTAACACTGAAAGAATGAAAACCAGACATATTAAGTGACATGGTACATGCACTACACAGCACCACCTATGTAGAACTATTAACAAAAATCTAAATAAATCTAATAAGGCCTCTAGACCTATCATCCAGGCTACAGGAGATATAGGGAACAGAGGAATACACACATTCTTTAAGAATATAATTAAGGCAAATCCAGAGGGTGGGAAATGTTATAGAAAAATGACCTAGTTTATTCTATGGTTAAATAGCATGAGGAGAGAAAGAGAGAGAGATGGAGAAAGTTCGAGAGAGAGAGAGAGAAAGAGAGAGAGAGAGAACAGTTATGAATTAAGAGTCTTATGCCAACCAAGTGCAAGGGTGAACCTTGTTTGAATCATGATTCAAATAAATGAATTAATACTATAAAATAATTATTGGGGTTTTTTTGTAGAGCATAGTTTTTTAAAAGAAAGTTCTAATCTGTTAGAGACACTTAGCATTTACAGGTAAAGGGAAATTATGCCTGAGCTTTAGTTTAAAATACTCCAGGAAAAAATGTGTATGTGTGGGGATGAGGGTGTGTGTGAGTGTGCACATATGTGAGGAAGAAGTTCAGATGAAACATAAATGGGAGAATGTTGGTAACTGTTGAAGTTGGACTATACTATTCTCTTCACTTTTGTGCATTATTTTAAATTTTCATAGTTAAAAATATTAATACACTAAATCAATTTTTAAAACTGGCAAGGGACTTCCAATACTGATAAAATAGACATACTTTTCCCTACCACAAAATATAGCTAAAAATCCTGGACATTATATATATAATAAACA